TTGCTCCCAGCAACCAGGCCAAACAGGCCCGTGCGGCTTCCTTATCAGGCGCCTGATGTAGCTGACGAGGATGACTCAGAGGGCGGGTCAGCGCCTGGCCCCGTGCCCACCCAGCCCCTCTGCCTGGTGCCTTTCCTCCCGTGAGCGGCCTTGCCTCCCTCCCCTCACTTTACCTTACTCTGCCGCCCTGCGCCCTCCCCCCACTTCCCTCGTTCAGCTAGGGATTGCCCACTGGAAGCGTTAAACAGGATGCCCTACCCTTTTTGCCCCCGAGGCAGCGAAGATGCCATCGCTTTGGTGCTTGGAGATTGGAGCTTTTGCGTGGCACCGGGCTTGGCAGAGCGTAGGCAAACAGGGTCTCGTTTCCTTTGGGAGCACTGGAGGATTTCCCAACCCCTGTCCTGGTATTGTGGGTCTGAACATGAGTCACCTGAGGAGCCCAGGTTCCCACCTCTTCCCAGATACTCTGGCTTGCTCCACCCGGGTCTTCCCTTTCGACCCAGCCTCCCCACTACCACGCCCAGCGGTCTGGGATTGGACAGCACCTCCACCCGGGCCCTTGGCCCTCCCTATTCGGTGTTTGCCGTGGCCTGCTGAACCTCAGGTCCTCTTCTAGGAAGGAAATGGTATTTGGTAGAGGACAGGCATGTAACCTGAAATTTTTGCTTTCTTTTCTTCTTCTTCTTCTTCTCCTTCTCCTTCTCCTTCTCCTTCCTTCTTCTTCCTTCTTCCTTCTTCTTCCTTCTTCTTTCTTCTTCTTTTTTTTTTTTTTTTTGGTTTTTTTGAGACAGGGTCTCCCTGTACCCCAGCTGTCCTGGAACTCACTATGTAGACCAGGCTGACCTTGAACTCACAGAGATCTGCCTGCCTCTGCCTTCCAAGTGCTGGAATTAAAGGCGTTGCTCCACCATGCCCAGCTTGCTTCTTTTTTAAAAAAATCTGTTTAAAACTATATCAAACCGTTTTATTCTAGTATTATTTAACATGTAAATTCTGTTGCTACACATAAAGCATAAAGTACAGTTTTAAGTCTTTTTTTGCCCACTGGAAGAGTTAAACAGGATGCCCTACCCTTTTTGCCCCTCAGGTCTTTTTGAGACAGGGTCTCCCTGTAGCCCCAGCTGACCTGGAACTCACTGGGATTAAAGGGGTAAGCCACCATGCCCAGTGACAACAGTTTTAAATCTTTTTTAATTTTTATTTATTTATTTTCCAGCCTCACCTCTTCCCTTAAATCTTTTTTAATTAAGAAAAAGGATTAGAGGGGCTGGGCATGGTGGTACACACCTTTAGTCCCAGCACTCAGGAGGCAGAGGCAGGTAGATCTCCAAGTTTGAGGCCACTCTGGTCTGCATAGTGGGTTCCAGGCCAGTCAGGGCTACAGAGCGAGGCCTCTCAAAGGAAGGATTCGAGAAGAGGGAGGAGACTCTGGGTTCCTGCCCCGCCCCACACCATTTCTTGGGGTGTGTATGTGGTTCCCTTGCTGACCGCAGGGCTTCTGAGGTTTGAGTCATGAGCCTGTAGGTGATGGTGGCTTCTTCCCCAAAGATGGGGCTCACCTTCTCTGACTAAGAAAACCACAGAGGCTCTTTCTTGCTTCTGTCTGCTCCAGGTTTCCCTCAGCTGTAGGCTGTGTTTTGGTTCTTTAATCTTGTCTCTTCAGGGCTGGGTGAACATCCTGGAGGGAGAAAACAGTCTTCTGGATTTTGTTGAAGGCCAATACATCACGGCATGTGCTGAGTGGGTGCAGCATCCATTTCAAACTCCACTTGCAGTAGGACCCTTGGCTGGAGCACTCTCTCCCTTAGTTTCTGTAATCACATTGGAAATAACACTCATCTTAGAAGGCAGCTATATGGATTAAATGGTATACTATCATAGTTAGAGTAGTACCTGACACATAAGCTCTTTGTAAGTATTTGCTGTTACAGTCATGTGCCACAAAATAATGTTTTCATTTCCATCAGTGGCAGATCACATATGATGAGAGTCCCATAAAATTCTGTTAGGTGTGGTGGTGCACACCTTTATTTAGATCCAGCAGAGGCAGGTGGATCTCTGTGAGTTCAAGATCAGCCTGGTCTACATAGTGATTCCAGGCCAGCTGGGGCTACAGGAGACCCTGTCCCAAAAAGACCAAAAAAAAAAAAACCAAAAAAAAAACAAAAAACTATCGTCCTATCGTCTTTTGGCATCCTACCTGTTTCAGTTTGTGCAAGCACACTGTGATGATCACACAATGATGAAATCAGCTAACAACCTCTCCAAACAATACAACTTCATTGTTAAGTGATGCGTGACTCTTAGTGTTGCTGCCATCTTTGGGAGCAGCAGGAAGTATGAGGTTAGACTGAAAAAAAAGTCAAAAACCACAAAAGCCAACCCTGTGCATATCAGACCATACACTCCTAGAGGACAGCCTATGTACTGCATCCTGGCACTACCAAGGACAGGGAGAACCCTGGGAGTTCCCCCTCTAGTGTCCAGGGAGGCAGGACTAAAGAATTACCCTTAGGACATGGTGGACAAATACCCTCCAGGTCCATTCTGCCTCTTCCTCTCCAGCTGGTAGGGTGAGGGATGGAGTTGTTGCTTTCATATTCCTCCTGGCTTATTTCTGTGTGAGGCAGAGGGGAAGAAGTCTGAGATTAGTGGCTCGAGTAGATGGGAACACTGTCCCTACACTGGTTTACTGTGCTTGAAGCTTTGCATCTCAGTTTCTTCATTTGTAAAGGGAAGAGGTTGAGTGGAGCTGACTGAGCTCTTTGAATCTCCCCAAACAGCCAGCTGCAGGCCAGCCAGTGGCTTTCAGGGTGGAGGTCCCCTCTGGGAAGCCCATGCCAACCTTGGACCTAGCTCAAGGATCTCAGATTCTACATCTGCAACTTACTTTACCAGGGTTTTTTCTTAATTTTCTCTCCTCCCCCTGCAGCTGCCTCAGCTTCGGAAAAGTTCTGAAGTCATGGAAAGTTGGGGCTGTGCTCTAGCCAGGGCCAGGCCGGATGGCAGCCAAAACCTGAGCTGGGTTTTGACTTTATTTTTAGCTTTTCATGCTGAGACAGAGGAGGAGAGACTGTCTCCGGTTCTGGAAGGGCCCCTTTGCAGAAGACAGACACTGTTGCATTAAATAACTTGTTTGGAGTGGTAGATGGAACAAATACACAGTCTAGGGGAAGTACTTCTAGGTCTTTGTACCCTTTTCTGCCCCTCTGTCTGCCTCCTAGCCCAGTGGAGCCCTGAGCGGAGGCGGGTAACTCCTCCCTTCTTAGTTCTCTAAGACTAGCCTTTTCTGTCCTGCTTCAGGGTGAATTGCTGAACCTTGTGTTTTTGATTAGAGATTTTATGGTAGGAGAAAATTGTTGGCAGGACTGCTTTTCTTCCTGGAGTGGGTTTGTTTGTTTGTTTATTTTCACTTGAGCACTTTTTTGTTTGTTTGTTTTGTTTTGTTTTGTTTTGTTTTGAGACAGCATCTCTCTGTAGCCCCAGCTGGCCTGGAACTCATTGGAGCCAGGCTGACCTCCATCTCACAGAGATCTGAGTGCTGGGATTAAAGGTGTGCACCACCATTCACAGCTTCACCTAACCACTTTTGATTTTCCAATTTTTTTCCCTTTGGGTGTATACAATGTGTCCACCAGTGCCATCACTCTGATGTCATGTCCTATGTGTGAATGGCAGAGGACAGCCTCAACTATTAGTCTTTACTTTCCACCATGGTTTCTTGTTCACTGCTGTCTATGCCAGCTAGCTGGCCTGCCAGCATCCATGGATTCTCCTTTCTTGGCCATCCATCTCCCTTTAAGAATACTAGAGTTACATACATATTACTGCACCCAGCTTTATGTGGCTTCTGGGGATCCAAACTCAGTTCCTCACTATGACATGGGGAGTGCTTTTACCCACTGGGTCATTCTCCAGATCTCGGTTTTCCTTTACTCCATCTGCCACGGTGGGTTCCTGCTTGAGGATGGATACAATGCAGGCTGCTACTAGTACTAGCCTCTTGAATCTTTCCTGCTACTCCCAGGGTCCACTGCTTCCTCCTACCCTGTATTTGTAAAGAGATTGTAATATCTGGAAAGTTCTCAGACTCTTCAGAGATTTTTAAGAAAACAGGACCTTTCTTTTGCTTCAGTTCATTAGCAGAAGAAAGAGGACGGTAAGGAAGGTAGAGGCAGCCCTGGGAGCAGCTTTGCCTGCTTTGAGGACCTGGGAATGTGAATGGGAGTGGGTCCAGGCCAGAACCCCAGTGGACCCGAGGGCTGGGAGCCACATCTGAATCAGATGTCAAGAGGTCCATGAGTAGGGCTCAGCCTTCTGTGAGGGTTCTAATGGAGGGGAGGTGGGCCCTCTGCTCTGCTGGGATCTTAAGCTAAGTCCTCAGAAGGAAAAGGTCATACCACACCTCCTCTCTGGTCCTGGTCTCCTTAGCCAGATGTTCCTTCCCCAAAGTTGCACATGTGCAAAAGGGACTAGAAGATGGAACCAGTTTGGGGCTCAAATTGAGAGGTGTTGGAGCCTTGCTTGATGTTGTGGTTGTGTGCCCCCCTCCCCCCCAGGACTGGGAGACTCCTGGTATGGTTGCTCAGAGGGAAAGGGAGGAGAGCTAGCTGAATGGGCAATGGGTGGAGTCCAGGGAGAAGGTTAAGACTCTGTGTGGGAAGGGGTGGGAGACAAAGGTGCCCCTGTCTATTTTAGAGGGAATGGGAGGGGAGGAGGGCCAGGCATTCATATCATGGGATCTAACTTTGCCCTTGGCCCCAGGCAAGTTCCTGAGCCCTGAGTCATGGGAAGGGTAGAGAAGCAGGCAGGGGCTTGGAGGTCTTAAGGGAGTTGGGAGCCTAGCCCCAGAGGCAAGCAAATACAAACCTAAGGCAAGGCAAGTGCACCCTCTCCTGACAGTTGGGAGGACTGCAGAACCAGCCCCCATGCCTTCCCAGGGGAATGGGCCACCCCAACGAATGGACTCCTCTGAAACCCACTCTTCTTTTCTTTCCCAGCAATACCAAGAAGGAGGGTGACTTGCTGGCTGCCCAGGCTCGACTCAAGGATCTGGAGGCTTTGCTCAACTCCAAGGAGGCTGCGCTGAGCACTGCCCTTAGTGAGAAGCGCACTCTGGAAGGGGAGCTGCATGATCTGCGGGGGCAGGTAGCCAAGGTAGGTCACTCTTAGGCCCTCCTGTGACCCCAGTGACCCAACCTGAGGAATGCATGCTGAATCTTCTACCTTGGCCTGCCCTTGGGAAGTGTCTGGTCTGACCTGTCACTCAGTCCCAAAGCCATTCCTCTGTTCTAGTATCACTTTGCTCCTCCAGGCCATATCTCATCCTTCTTTGGCCACCAAGGGAGGCACAGTGAATTAAAGGAGTCTTCAAAACATTTCCATTCTCCCCTCCTGCCTTCCCTGCCAAACAACTTCAACTTCTCTGGAAGGGAGTCAGACACTGCAGCCCTAATGTGGTACTGATGGCCAATTACATATAGGATGTGGATTAATACCACATTGCACAATGTCCTTCATTTTCAAAACTTTTTTTTTTGGTCTTTTTGAGACAGGATCTCCCTATAGCCCCAGCTGTCCTGGAACTCACTATGTAGACCAGGCTTGCCTTGAACTCACAGAGATCTGCCTGCCTCTGCCTCCTGAGTACTAGGATTAAAGGTGTGCCTAACCATGCCCGGCTCATTTTCAAAACTTTTAAAAAATTTCCCATATTACAAACTAAGGAACACAACTGAAGAAGGTAACTTTTTACACAGTTTCATGGCCTCACTTGCCTGTTCAGAGTAGGTCAAGCCTGAGGCCTATTGACAAGCCACCATCCTGGGTCCTGCCCCTCCACCCCTCCTCTGCAACACATCACGGGAGACAGGAGAAACTAGCAGGTTGACATCAGAGCCAAGGCAAGTTGCCTTGCCTTCCAGCCCTTCCTGGCCGCACTGATCAGCCTGCACTTTCTAACATGAATGTCTTATTAGCTTACTGCTCCCTGCTCAGGACCTACTGGTCCTGCCACCTCTCCCCAGCAGGACTTCAGGCTTCAATAATGCCAATCTTTCTGATGACTTAAGAAAATCATATGCTTCCTACTTTTGGGGCTTTGCATATATGTCTCTGTCCTGTCACTACTGTGTTCCCTCCCCAGACTCCACTAATCTCCCAGCCTCTTGGAGGCCTTCCCATCCTCCCCCTCCCCACAGCATGCTTTGGTTCCTTCCTTCTACACTTTATGCAGACCTCCTTCATAGTAACTGCTGTGTTGAGCCAGGAAGGAGAGCTCCTATGTAGGAGAACTTGCCCTTAATTTCCTTAAAAAAAAATTTTTTTTTTTTTTTTTTTTGAGATAGGGTCTCCCTGTAGTCCCAGCCTGGAACTCAGATCTGCTTGCCTCTGCCTCCCGAGTGCTGGGATTAAAGGCATGCTCCACAATTTATTTGTGTGTGTGTCTGTCCTCGCATGCCACAATGCGCATGTGGAGGTCAGAGGACAACTTGCAGGAGTCAGTTTTCTTCTGCCATGTGGGTTCTGGGGATCAACCCTGGTTTTCAGGTTTAGTGGCAAGCATCCTGAGCCATCTTGCTGGCCCTGATCCTTGATTTCTTAGGTCCCCAGGGTAGTTACTGTGAGAGAGTGACTATCCTTCCTTGGGCATCCAAAGCCCTCACTTCCTCTAGACCTGGGGACAGCCATCACTTAGCTTCCTTGGCCATGTTCTGACATTCTGAGCAGCCCCTCCCTGACATCTGCTTGCTTCCTTTTAGCTTGAGGCAGCCCTGGGTGAGGCCAAGAAGCAGCTTCAGGATGAGATGCTGCGGCGAGTAGATGCTGAGAACAGGCTACAGACCCTGAAGGAGGAACTGGACTTCCAGAAGAACATCTACAGTGAGGTAGGGACTATGTTTTATAGGCCTGAGAGCTGGGGCTGGGTTGTGATGGCTGAACAAGTCTAGGAATCACCTGTATGCAAAACTCATATGCCTGAGGCCCTGTACTAGTGGCTAACATTCCAGCTCCCAGGTTAATAGGGGGTTGCCAGTGACTTGTGGGTTAGGTAAAGGCAGAGAGAGCTTGGCTTTCTGGGTCTCAGCTTCTAAGGAATCATTGTGACTTGGCTTCCTGTGTCTTTACTTGAACCCTTCCAGGAGCTGCGTGAGACCAAGCGCCGCCATGAGACCCGGCTTGTGGAGATTGATAACGGGAAACAGCGTGAATTTGAGAGCCGGCTGGCGGATGCCCTGCAGGAACTGAGGGCCCAGCATGAGGATCAGGTGGAGCAGTATAAGAAGGAGCTGGAGAAGACTTACTCTGCCAAGGTACCCACCTCATTTCATTCCTTCTCTGCCTCTGCCCCGCAGCTTGCCCTGCCTGTTCTAGATGTACTTTGGGGAGAAGCTTGGGTAGCCTAGGACCCAAGGCTGTAGTAATGATGTTGCCCTCAGGTCCCTGGCTGTGCCTCTGGGTTCCTGTTCTAACCCTGTGTGTTCCTTGCAGCTGGATAATGCCAGGCAGTCTGCAGAGAGGAACAGCAACCTAGTTGGGGCTGCCCATGAGGAGCTGCAGCAGTCCCGCATCCGCATCGACAGCCTGTCGGCCCAGCTTAGCCAACTCCAGAAACAGGTGATGCCCCGGCTCACCCCTTCCACCAGGGCAGTGGTCTGGGCAGATGTAGCAGAAGTCTGCTGAAGAGAGGAAAGGGAGAGGAAGGGAGGACAGACCCTGGGATTTCAGACTGTGGTTTGGAGTCTGATGGCCTGTTTGATGTTCCAGAACTCCCTCTCACCTTACCTTTATCTTGAGAGCCTTTCCCATTTGTGTACAAAAGGTTTTTCTGTTTGCTTTGTGGGTGCTATGGATTGAACCCAAGGCCTGTGCAAGCTAGGCAAATGTTTTTCCATTGAACTACATACCCAACTTCATTTCTCATTTGGAAATGGTGATCATGTGAGGGTGGGTATGTAGCTCAGTTGGTAGAGTGCTTGCCTAGCATGCATGAAGCCCTGAGTTTCATCTCTAGCACCACATAAAACTGGGCATGGTAGCATGTGTCTTTAATCCCAGCCTGGGGGAATATAGGTTCAAGGTCATCCTCAACTATATAGCAAGTTTGAGACCAGCCAAGACCCCATCTCAAAAGAAAAGAATAGAAAAACGGAGATCATTTTCATCCTCCCTAACTCACAGATCTGTCATCACACTCTGCAATGTGAAATGTTAAAAGCATCAATATTATTATAGCTGTCTGTGCTATCCGCGACAGAAGGAAATGGGGTCTAGCCTCACAATGAGAGATTTCAGATAGATATTGGGAAGGGCTTCTGGTCACTAGCCAAGGCCACGTTAGAGACTGATGACAGTTTACAGAGCCTAAGCAGGTCCTGAGTGCTCCTATATGCCTTTACCCACATCCCTCCCTCCCATGACCTGGGGCCTGTGGAAGCTTAATAGACCCCTGCCTTCCCAACCACAGTTGGCAGCCAAGGAGGCAAAGCTTCGGGACCTGGAGGACTCACTGGCCCGTGAGCGAGACACTAGCAGGCGGCTGCTGGCAGAAAAAGAGCGGGAGATGGCTGAAATGCGGGCCAGGATGCAGCAGCAGCTGGATGAGTACCAGGAGCTACTGGATATCAAGCTGGCCCTGGACATGGAGATCCATGCCTACCGCAAGCTGCTGGAAGGCGAGGAGGAGAGGTAGGAATCAAGAGATGTTGGCAGGGGCTTCTGCCTGTGACCACTGTTGACTAACCCCTTTTTTATTTCTACTTCCCCAGGCTGCGCCTATCTCCCAGCCCTACCTCGCAGCGCAGCCGTGGACGCACTTCCTCCCACTCATCCCAGTCACAGGGTGGGGCCAGTGTCACCAAAAAGCGCAAGCTGGAGTCAACTGAGAGCCGCAGTAGCTTCTCACAGCATGCTCGCACCAGCGGACGTGTGGCTGTAGAGGAGGTGGATGAGGAGGGCAAGTTTGTGAGGCTGCGCAACAAGTCCAATGAGGTGGGCCTCTGGGTGGGGGTCTAAGGGCATATGGCTGAGTGGTTGGGGGACTTCAGGCAAGTTCCTTCTCATGGGGTCATTTTCCCCATATATGGCAGTCCCTAAGTCTTTGAGTTGTTGGGAAGATGAAAGATATTAATGTATGTGGCATAGCATACATGTCCACACAGCACAGCGAGGATTCTTGAGGGAAATAGTTGGATAGTGGGGTTAGTGGAGGGCAGGGCTTCTGTATTTGGGAGGTGGCAGGCCTGCCTTGTCTCTTTTTTGAGAACGTTTTGCCCAAGCTGGTCTTAATCTCCTGGGATCAAGCCATTCTCCTGCCTCAGCCTCCCCAGTAGTGGGGACTGCATGCCTGGCCTGCCTGGGCTCTTACGTGAGATAAACCAAGAGCCAGGTTGAGCCTCCCCGTCTTCCTCCCTCCCCTCCTGGCAGGATCAGTCCATGGGTAACTGGCAGATCAAGCGTCAGAATGGTGACGATCCTTTGCTGACTTACCGCTTCCCACCAAAGTTCACCCTGAAGGCCGGGCAGGTGGTGACGGTGAGTGGCAGGGTGCTTGGGACTCTGGGGTGGCCTTAGATGGAGATGGGTTAGCCTCAGGAGAGACGAATTAAGAATAATTTGGAGGGGGGGCCTGGAGAGATGGCTCAGCAGTTAAGAGCACTAGCTGCTCTTGCAGAGGACCCAGCTTCAGTTAGTTCCCAGCACCCACACAACAATTTACAGTAATCTGTAACTCCAGTTCCAGTGGATCTGATGCCCTCTTCTGGTATCCTTGGGCATTGTATGCACATGGTACATTTTCATACATGTGGGCAAAACACTCATAAAATTTAGGAAAAAAAAAAGACTAAGCACCTCTCAAACTCTCTTTCCCTAGATCTGGGCTTCAGGAGCTGGGGCCACCCATAGCCCCCCTACTGACTTGGTGTGGAAGGCACAGAACACCTGGGGCTGTGGGAACAGCCTGCGTACAGCTCTCATCAACTCCACTGGGGAAGTGAGTATGTTGCAGCTGGCCCCTTGCTGGACAAGGCTCCCCCTGGTGTCCATAATGGGAACCAGTCACCCCCAACCCATTTAGGACCACTTTCTGAGCTCTGTGATTCAGGCCCAAGTCCCAACCCAGTGAGCAAAGCAAAAGAGGCCTCCCCGGAAGGGTGACAGGTGGTAATATGACTGGTGGAGTAAACGCTGTTAGATGTAGACGCCAGCCCAGACAGCTTGAGTGCTCATGTCCCTCTTGGGTAGAGGCAAGTTCCTTAGCTCCATCACCAGAGGTTTGAGCAAAAGCCAGCTAGACAAAGAACAGACCCTAGGAAGGTTCCAAGTGGTTACTATGGGTGGATAAGCTACATATCCTTCATGCCTTGATCCTTGGGCTTGGGCCTGTGATCCTGTAGGAAGTGGCCATGCGCAAGCTGGTGCGCTCGTTGACCATGGTCGAGGACGATGAGGATGAAGATGGAGATGAACTACTCCATCACCACCATGTGAGTGGCAGTCGTCACTGAGGTCCAGTCCATACTGGGCAGCCCTGCCAGGCTTGGGGCAGCTTCTCCCCCCTCCCATGCCAAAGTCTTTTCATTAAAGAATGTTTTGGAACTTTTCTTGCTGCCCTGGCCTTTCTTCTCTTTCCTCCCCATACCTTGGACAGGGAGCCCAGGTGTCTGGGAGCCCTACTCCGGTGAGGAAGGGAGCGGGAACTTCCTGATGCCTTGGAGTATTCCACAGAGCAGTGCACAGGGGTCTGGATTTGTCTCCTGGGGAGGGAATGGGAAGACAGAGACACCCCTCCAACCTTGCCTGTCTTCCCCCCTTCATTGCATGCATTGCCTTCTCCAGTCCCGCGGCATGCCTGTCCTCTCATTTTCCCTGAAAGAATGTTTTCTCTCGTTCCTGTCCCCCTCACAAATTAATTTTCTATATCTGTCTCTCTCCCTATTTCCTCCTAAGTTTCTAGGATTTAGGGGAGTGAAAACCACACCTGTCTGTCCCCAAGCCTTCCTGGTCATTTTCCTCAGCCACATCCTTCCTCCCAGCCCCAGGCCTCCCAAGTCCCTATTTGCTCTGGTTCCCCCGTACATAAGCCTACCTTCCTGCCCAATGGCCAAGAGCCGACAGACTCCAGAGCCTGAGAGGTAGTCCCAGACTCACTGTCCCGCCTGAGCCTTGTCTCCCTTCCCAGGGCTCCCACTGCAGCAGCTCGGGGGACCCGGCTGAGTACAACCTGCGCTCCCGTACCGTGCTGTGCGGGACATGCGGGCAGCCTGCCGACAAGGCATCTGCCAGTGGCTCAGGAGCCCAGATGGGCGGATCCATCTCCTCTGGCTCTTCTGCCTCCAGTGTCACAGTCACTCGCAGCTACCGCAGTGTAGGGGGCAGTGGGGGTGGCAGCTTCGGGGACAACCTAGTCACCCGTTCCTACCTCCTGGGCAACTCCAGTCCCCGGACCCAGGTGAGTCATCCCTGTTTCCTCCACCCCTACAGCAGGACCTGAGCAGTAGGGCAGGGTGGCCCATGGGAGTGGGCTTCTCTCCCACAGCCCTAGGGGAGTGGGATCCTGTTCCCTATAGTCCCTCTTGCACCCTGTCCCTCCTGTCTGGGCCCCAGACTGGAGGGCAGGGCCATGGCCAGAGTGTGAGGACTAGGGAGCCACACACCCCTTTGGGGTCAGGGAGGGAGAGGCAGGGGTGCCACTGCTGCTCACACCTCTGCCTTCTCTTCTCTCTTAGAGCCCCCAGAACTGCAGCATCATGTAATCTGGGACCTGCCAGGCAGGGTGGGGATGGAGGCCACTTGCTTCTTCCTCACCTTATGCCCACTTCCTGCTCTGCATCTCATGGGAGCAGGCCTGAAGCCAAAGAAAAATGTACCCCCTTTTGGTTTTTTTTCTTCTCTCTATTTTTTCTAAGAGAAGTTATTTTCTACAGTGGTTTTATACTGAAGGAAAAACAAGAAAAAAAAAGCCTCTATCAGTCCTAATTCCCCCCCTTTCTTTCCCTGCATCTGCCTTAAAATTAAAGGGATTCTCCTAGGAGCCCAGGGAAAATTGCTCTTACAGAACCTAGTTTTTGCCTTGCTGCCTTGGCTGCTGTCCCCACCCTGGGACCCTGTGACATGGTGCCTGAGAGGCAGGTGTGGAGTCCACTCCACCAGCATCCTCCAGACAGCTGGCCCACTGCTAGGTCAGCTCCAGAGAGGCAGCGAGGCTGGCTTGAGGGAGGTCAAGCCCCTCCTGGTTCCATTACCCTTGGTTGAGGCTCCTCCACCTGTGCCCGCCCTCATCCTCATCCTGCCGCTTTCCAACCTGGGTAGGTGGATTCTCCCAGGCACGTGCATCATGCTTGCTTTTTTTCTGTATTTTATTTAGACAAAAGATGGGAATGAGGTGGAAGTGGAAGAAGAGGGAGACCAGTTTGGGCCTGCCTTCTCCTAGCTTGAGAGCCTGGTGGGCCCTGAATGGTAACTGGAAGGCAGAGTCAAGTGGGGTACTGGGAGGAGAGAGGGAGGTGAGAGGTGAGAGCCTGCTGGGGCCCTGCCACATGGGAGGAAGGTGAGAGGAGTAGAGGGTGTGGTGGCAGTTTTGGTAAACACTAAGAAGCCCCTCACCCTGCCCCCATTTCCCATCTGCACCTCTTTTCTTCCCCCAAATCAATACACTAGTTGTTTCCATCCCTGGCTGCTGTGGTGTCTGTCTTCGTTGGGCGTCACCGTGTGTTCTCAGGGGCAGACACATACACAGGTGCCACATGGTCACTTTATGCCCAGTACTATCCAACTGCCTTCCTGTTCTAGGGGCACAGGAAATGATGATGCCCACAGAACACCTCAGGTGCATGTTGGGCACTGTGTGGTGGTTGCCTGGCATCGGCACTAGCCATCTGCCTCAGTATCTAGACAGCCTTAGGTGGCATGAAGGGGAGCCATTTCTTTCCTAACCTTCATCTACTGGACACTGATCAGGCATCTTCTAAATAGAGCTCTGAGCCAGGTGTAACTACAAAGACAGAGACTGGGTGAGGGGGCAGCAGAACTTCCTTTGCAAAGGAGCAGTTAACATCCCTTTGTACCACCTTGTGCTCAGCTTTGGGGCCAGAAATCGGCAAGACAACATACTCAGTGTCTAGGAATTTCCATGCTTGCTGGAGGCAGAAAACTTGGCTGGGGACAAAGGGATGTACCTGGAATAAGCAGGAGGTTCTTTGGGGAGGTGACCTGGGGACACAGCTGACTGAGGGGAGGGCCCCAAATGGAAAATAAGCAACGATGCCCCCACCTCGTCTGATTCTTTCTAATCCCCACATCACTTCTGCAATCTCATGTGACCTTTTTGCTATCTTTAAAAAAATATTTTATGCCGGGCGTGGCAGCAAACTCCTTTAATCCCAGCACTCCGAGGCAGAGGGAGGTGGATCTCTGTGAGTTCAAGGCCAGCCTGGTCTACATAGTGAGTTCCAGGACAGCTGGGGCTTTTGAGACCCTGTCTCAAAAAGACCAAAAAAAAATTTTTTTTTAAATGATAAAAAGGGCTGGAGAAATAGATGGCTCAGCAGTTAAGAGCACTAGCTGCTCTTCAAGAGGACCAAGTTTCAGTCCCCAGCACACACAATGGTAGCTGACAACCTACAACCATCCTTAACTCTAGGGTATCTGACACCCTTCTTCTGACCTCAGGCATTGCACAACACAGGTACACTTACATGTAGGCAAAATACTCATACACATAAAATTAATAAGTTAATTTTTAAAATGATAAAAATGTGGATGAAAAATCTATGTTTCTTGGGTAGAGGAGTTGGATCTGCAGTCAAAAGTCATTGAGAGTCATTGAGAGGCTCTTGGGTCAAGCCTGATGACCTGAGTTCCATCCCTGGGATCTACATGGTAGAAGGAGAGAACTGACTCCTACGTGTGCACACACACAATAAATAAATAAATATAATTTAAAAAAATTTAAATCGCCGGGCATGGTGGCACACGCCTTTAATCCCAGCACTTGGGAGGCAGAGGCAGGCAGATCTCTGTGAGTTCAAGGCCAGCCTGGTCTACATAGTTCCAGGACAGCTGGGGCTACAAGGAGACCCTGTCTCAAAAAGACCAAAAAAAAATTTTTTTTTAAATCATACACAGACTCAGTAAAACAAGACATATGTTCTCCCTCACCTGTGGGTCCTAGCACCAATTCCTTATAAGTGAGTGCATATCCTAATGCAACTGCAGGGACCAAGAATATGGAAGGGAAACAGGGAGGTAAAGGGAAAGAAGGAACCTGAGAGACAATAGTAGGATAAAGGTGTTACTAAGGGAGAAATATGTGAAAAGGGGGTAGTTAAAGGGGAGGGAGGCAAGGAGGGCTATACAAAGAATTATGGGAATAAAGGGTAAAAAATTCTCCAGATATACAGTAAGAAAAAAAAAAAAGCCTTAAGCACAGAAGGAACACTATGGGGATGGAGAAAGCTCTTCCAGAAGCAATACAGTTGTTAAAAGAAAATTATAGTGCCAGAGGTGGGTTGCCCCCCTATGAGCTGTTGGCCTGAAACAATTAAGGCCATTGCCAATAATGTTGGTTGTACACTGGAAGTGAATGGAGGGACCCTATTGGTGAAGACACTGCTTGATGTGAGCTCAGGAGAGGGAGAAATCAAGCTTGGACTAAGCTAGAAACTCCCTGGGTTTGCTTTCATGGTGCCAAAAGGCAATATGCAGATGACTAGGGGAGAATCGTCCCCTATAATTCTGCTCAACGACAGACCCCAGACCCCATGTGTTGCACTATCAACATACCAACCAAGATGTTCCTGCTGGTGCAATAGTCTAATGTACGTGCAACCAGCAAATTTCTGATTGGATATGATGTTCACTCCTATGGGTGGATCACACATCTGGTACTGTAGACAAGGCCAAACCCCTGTGGCAGGGAAGAATATAGGCCCCAGTGGGAAAACACTGCAGTTGTTTGTTAAATGGATGTGATGCACCTGTTACAGTACCGTCCAAGCATTTGTGTTTACACCCATAGGGGAGGAGGGGCTAAGGATGTATAAGCTGAGAATGCCTCTCACCATTTTCTGCAGTTGTTGGGAAGTCACAGGATCTATGTTTGAGTTCGGACTTTCCAGTGTAGCTGTAAATGTTGGGGTGGGGGACACTCCTCTGTAAATAAACCCTCACCCTATGCTCTGTTAAAAAAAAAAAAAGGCTGGGCGTGGTGGCGCTAGCCTTTAATCCCAGCACTCGGGAGGCAGAGGCAGGTGGATCTCTGTGAGTTCAAGGCCAGACTGGTCTCCATAGTGACTCCAGGACAGCTGGGGCTACAGGGAGACCCTGTCTCAAAAGCCAAAAAAGAAAAAAATGATAGGCGTTTGGATAGATAGATGAGAGGGATCTGACTAGACTGCAAGTGGATGGACTTACACTGTCTGGGGACACTGACTTCACACAGTAGGCCTTAACACCCAGGACAGAGTATATGAGTTCAATGGGGGGCGCTATGTGAGGGTACTGGTGCGGACGGATCTATAAAGATGATTCAGATTGTTGGAGATATTCTGTATGAAATACAACAAAATTTAATAAAAGCAAATTAAAAAAAAATTAACTCATTGAGAGTGCCAGGGTTGCAGCTTGTAAGATCACTTGCCTAACATGCTGGGGGCCCAGGGTCCATCCTCAGCTCCTGAAAAAAGAAAGTGAGCCGTATGTGGTGGCACTCGCCTTTAATCCCAGCACTCAGGAGGCAGAGGCAGGTGGATCTCTGTGAGTTTGAGGCCAGCCTGGTCTACATAGTGAGTTCCAGGACAGCTGGGGCTACTGGCAGACCCTGTCTCAAAAAAAAAAAAAAAAAAAAAAAGAGTGAGTGAACAGGATGTGGCCACTCATGCTGGAAGAAGACTGTGGTGAATTTGAGGCTAGATGGGACCACAATGTGTGACCTTTTTGATTAAAAAAAAAAAAATCAAAGAAAGAAGAAATGCCATGTTTGGAATTGTGAAAAAAACAAATAGGAGGCCGGGCATGGTGGTGCATGCCTTTAATCCCAGTACTAGGGAGGCAGAGGCAGGCGGATCTTTATGAGTTTGAGGCCAGCCTGGTCTACATAGTGAGTTCCAGGACAGCTGGGACTACAAGGAGACTCTGCCTCAAAAAGACAGAAAAAAAAAAAAAGCCCAAATAGGAAAAAAATGAAATTAATGACAGTAGAAAGACCTCTCTCTCATGCTGAAAACCTTGGGATATCCTGTGTTAGACTCCCTGAGGCCTTGCTGGAAAGGATGCTAAGAGGAAGGGGATAGTGGGAATCGGAGTCTGGGTGGGCAGCTTCAAAGCAAAAACAATAACTGCCATGGCAGAGGCCCCACAGTATGCTGGTGCCAGCCAGCCAAAACGGACAGTACCTGAAAGGGGGAGTGAGGATTGAAAGAAAAAAAAGAAGACAGGAAAGACACTTCTTGGGAGGGCTCACAGTCAATACTGCCAGCCTCGGTTTATTTCATCTCTGTCTTTTTATACAGAAGGAGTTGTGAGGCTCTCCATATAAACATACTCCTCCTGATAAGGCAGATTAGATACTGGTGTGCATAACACACACTCAGTAAACAAGCCTGACACAGCTCAATGATTAGCAGCCCCTGACATCTCCCCCTTCCTTTTTATTTTTATAACCCCAGATTATGATATATCTGGGACAGGACTGTGCCTGTCTTAGGTTGTCTTCTGCCAGAGCAAAGCCTTACCCATCATTGGCATGTAGCTTCCATCAGCTACGCCCTGTCTTAGGTTGACTTTGTCCCAGAAGATCTTACCCGTCTTTGACTACCGGCCTCTGTTAGGGGAGGGAGTGCAATCTCATATCATGCACAGCTGCCTTGACTTGCCACAGGTATAAATAACTTTACTGCCACCAGATGAAAACAAAGACAGGAGGAAAAGCATGTAAGGAGGCTCTCAGCCTTTTTAGAATATCTGCCGCTGTTTACAGGGTGGAAATGTGGGGAAAATTTTTGTTTTTTCTATTATCTCTTGACAATAACACATTGACATTGGTACAATATACACTTTGTCCCACAAGCACCCTTATTTTTAACAAAATAGGCAACCCGCTTCCCAATCCAAAATAATCATCAGGTGTTTTGAAGCAGGCTGAGCAATTAACCAAGAGTCA